AATCTGGTCCTTCCATTGCTTAACTTTTGCTAATAGGCATGAATGAACTTAGTGTAATCTATACAACTCATAGACACTTAACAAAAGAAGCAGAATATGCATCTCAAAACAATTCACTATTTTTTGTTTACTTTCCTCATCATCTTATTCTGGATCTCCTCTCTTCCTGTACGTACCATTCAAAGTACTTTATGTAAAAATAGCAAGACAAACTTCACAAGAAAATTACGGTTTCAGTATTAATTTTCTCTCTGCCCAGAAGCATCTACACTTCTAAGCCTTCTAGGGCAGTTAGCATTTTGACATGAGTGGTCTTCAATTCATGTGTCAGGCAGTTACTGTATTCTCTGACTTCACTGCCGTGTGATCCCCAACCACACTTTTTATCTCCAGGATTTCTACTTCATTCATGTATCAAACTGTTCTTGATTGCATATAACAGAGCTAGTAAATCTATTCCTTGCCAGATGTCACAATGTCACATGTGCCACTCAATGGTTTTGATTACTTGTGGAAGACCCTGCTGTATATTGATGTCCCTGCTGCCCATGTGACTTCCACACCATCAACTCTTCTAGCAAGAGGATGAAACTCATCAGGCCTACTGAGCAATGGTACAAAGCCAGCTGAGAAATGAAGTCATGTCCTTTGCATAACAATGATGCGAACACTCCCAACATTGACTGCAATGGCAACATCTCTCGTGTAATGTTCTCTTAAGATAATTTGTTAGCAGGGAACACGTATCAATATTCGTTACTGCTTTCCACATCATACACTCACTGAGCACTCGACATGAGAAAGATTAAATAGCTCAGCTAAATATACTGTCTCAATGCTAATGACCTGTTCAGCTACTTTTCAGTCACATCTCAAGCTATTCAATGCTTTTTCTACTTCTTCCACACTTTCTTCATCAAATTTCTCTGTAAATGAGCAAAAACCATGCCAAGTCCATACCTACAGCGCATGCATTCAAAATATATATGGATGCTTTCTTCAATAAGTGATATATGGTATGAAGACAGGACAATGAAAAGCAATGGAAGTGAAATAAGAGGTTAATCTTCATCATTTATGCAAGAATATGCATAAATTATTTATTTTCAGGCAAATTCTACAGTCTTCAACACGCACAACTCCAGCTGAAGTTACTGGTATGTTTCTCAGTTTTGACCTTTAGGATGTGCTCCACAGCTAGTATGTGCCTTGGTACACAGACAGTTTGTTGTATTTGTCTGCAAAGTGCTTTCTACAAAGCTAAGCACTGAGGGACATTTGTGGGGCTGAAATTTATGAAAGAAATAGATCACTTCAGATGCTGCATCTCATAGTACGAATGCCTATGCATATCTGAAGCTGAACACAGGGCTGCTGTGTGATGCTCAGGGATCTGGATGCAGAAGGTTAAATTTATAGCTAAGAGAACAGTTTTATGTGTGCTGGAACATCAGTAAGCTGAATTTTGTTCATATTTTTGCTGAAGAAGTTGAAAACTCAGGAGTCAGAATATACAAACAGTGATAAAAAAAGCTATCATCTGGAATATTTTAGGAAGATATTCACTACATTGTAGACCAATACCCAAGAAAGCAGAAGAAGTAATTCTATGTAGTATATATGATGCTATATACATATCATAATACAATATCATAATACAACTGATGCAAGAAACATAATCTTAAATTATATTCTTTCATTATGGAAGGTACAGAAGAAACTCAAGTAAAGATATTGGTAATAAAATACAATGTGTCAGAAAACCAGAATAATTTGTTTCTTAAAAATTGTAATAAAAATATGATTGAAAAGATCTTTTCAGAAAAGGTTGCCATGATCTGTTATCTAAAATTAAATTCCAAATATTGAAACAATCCGTAATCATCTAGAGCATCTCTAAATACACTCGGGAATTTTTTTTTCCTACATATGTTTGGCTTTTTTAATGTTAGCATATATAAAATATTTCTACAGATAAAGTTTATGCTGTAAATACACAGAGAAAGTGAGCATGGGTGAAAAGTCAGTTTCCTGGCAAACAAAGAACATAGGAAATGTAATTACGTGACATAGTCATATAGGTTTTTCTGGGTAAAAATATACATGTTTAGGAATCTAATAGATATTATCTTGTAGGGCTCTGTTAATATTTTTCTTAAATATCTTGGATCCTTGATATGAGACAGGCTCAAATATTACTAATTTTGAAGATTTAACTCCTCATTTTCTTCCAAAATATTTATTTTCTGTGCTCACAGTCTTTTTATTAAAAGGAGACTTTTGTCCTAATAATGAGAAGTTGTAAGTCACTCTTCAAGTTATTTAAATAAGAGAAAATCCTCATTAAATCTACAATACCCTTGCTTGCAGAGGCTTTTGTGTGTGTGAGCTCTCCCAGATGCACAACAGCTTGGCAGCCTTTATGCAGCTGCTCCTGTCAATGCGATTCACAGTGATCCCTCCTGTATGGATAATTTTAAAACAGCACAGTATAAATGAAATCTTACAATTGTCACAAACACCCAGGTGTTTGGTGTGGCAAGATGGCCTATAGGAGAATAAGTAATTTGGCCTGGAGAACTATGTGCTTGATCAGTATTTCTGAGGGCAATTGGCCACAACATTGGTACATACAGTTGCAGCAACACATAATTCATATGAAAGATGTAGGGACAGCTGGTCCTGCTGCTGTCCTTCTTAAACTAAATGGTAAACAGCACAGGAAAAACAGAGTTTGGAGGGAGAAGCTTAAGCAAAAGAGAGGTATCAATACAAAGCTTTGGCCTTGTTGGCAGACAGCCGTACTAGCTTCACCTTGCCAAGCTGCCACAGCCTCCCTCTTTTCTCTTCCTCCCTTTCCTGCAGAGTCACTCTCACAGACATTAACTTGGTTATTCTGTTAGTTGATGAAAGACACAACATACTCTTGTATTCTATTTTCTGTTTATCATTACACAGTGTAAAAAACAACATTGCTTTTCCAGATTTGTAAACATTATTCTCATCCCATTAAAAAAAAGTCCTCTATTACTCTAATTATGAATATGTTGTGTTTGCACTATTCTGAAAAGTGGTATGTGGTACAGAAAATAATACCTACCTTTGTAGTGACAGAAAAATAATATTCTTTGTTTAAACTGGGTTTGGTTCAGTGGAGTGTTCATGCACTGACATGACTGACAGTATAAGTTTATTTAAAAGGGAAGATCACGTTAAACTGCAGAAACATTGTATTTGTGCAGATGCTGATTTTTTAAGCCAGAAATTAAGGCAATGTGAAACTGTTTATGCTGAGAAATCAAGTTATAGGCCACACTGAATATATAGAAAAATGCACTAGTTTTCCAGTGACAAGAGATTCTATAGTAAGCAAGTGTTGTAATCCCCCATGTACAGCAAAGAAAACCTGAGAGGGAGATAGCCAGCATTTGCATCAGCCATCCCTATAAATTTCTGTATCCATGTGCAAGCTGAGGATCATAACCTAGACTTGAGTACTGGGAAAGACAGAGGTTAGAAACTCATGAATCATGTACTGTCTCATAGTGCTTTTCTTCCTAGATTTGCTTTGCAGTTGAGTTGCACCTTTGAAGAGATCCATGTGCTTTGACATCACAGTGACTGAAAACTATAGACACTGAAAGTGGGTCTCCTCGAGTTCCTTGTAGCCTAACTGTTCCATTGTCTATAGGAAGCTTGCACTAATATTTGAAAAGTCTAAAAGAGCTATAAACACAAAGGCCTTTATTTTTAAAAGGCAAGTGAGAGAGAGAAAAATCTCAGACTTTTTGTCATCTACATCCTTCTTGCCAAATCTAATAGCTGCTTTAATGGTTTTCTATCTGTTCTCTCTACAAGGTTTCTATTCTTTGCTTAGCTTTCCTTTTGTGCATCTTATGATCTGATCTACTAGATGCTCTCCTAAGTGACACATTCCAACCACAGTCACTGAATGTGACAGCCATGCTGTATCTAATCATAAAATGCTGTGCTCAGACACTTGACAATATTTGAAAATATTACTCTTGTTCTAAAAACAATGTGAGGAGTTCAAGGTAGGTGAATGTAACTAGACTGATAACGAGAGATTGATAAATCAAATAGGATTACTATTTTTAAATTTTTATTATTATTTTTTTTATTGTGAAAGAGTTTTGTTTGTTTTGTTTTGTAATTCAACTGGCCTAAGTTTCTCCACAGAGTTTCCAACAAAATATAAAGCTCATTTTTTAATGACTGTAAACTCTGTAAAAAATCTGTTTTTCTGAAGAATAGGATAAATCCTAGTTCAAGGATCTTATTTTAAGGAGAAGGGTAGCACTGAACTGGGACCTACTGCGAAACATCCTCAAGTATCCCAGGAAACTGCATTTGATTTTGCAGAGTTCTGTTACTTTAAAGATTATTTTAGAGGATTATCTGTATTTCTAGCAATGCTCCAGCATTGCATATAACACATGTAGAGTAAACCTGAGATCCTATTAATCATGTACTTAGCATCTGGGTTTTTAAAGCAGCACATACTTTGATCTTTTTGGCCAATCATTTGTCATATGTTTGAGGATTCCTGAGAATAAAAAGGCTATATATAGATTAAATATAATATTATCAGCTGAAGATCTGTCAGATTTAATAGGTAGACGTAGATAGGCTGATAAACTTGTCTTCAGTTTTACAGGCTCATAATGCTCATTCAGCATTATTTTTCCAAGTTATCTTGTTTAGATGAGAAAATAAATAATATTAAATTAAATTTACACATTTTACAGAACACACTGCTGTCTAGGTTGAAGAAATGGAACAAAAATGGCCTTCAGGAAACATTAACAATATTGAAATTCTGGTGTTTACCAAACCAAGAACAGCTCTGGAACTACATCTCTGTAAAGTAATCTCCAAATGCTATACCTATACTTACACAAACTATATCAGTAAGAATTAGCAGCAATTAAAGCTTGCCATTATCTCCCCAAGTAAAGAAGGGAGGTAGGTGTACTTACTAAGTCAGCACGATAGCCACGGCATCATTTAGGACACTCTCTCCAAACAGGAGTGTGTACAAATCTGTATCCACATGCAGCTCATGGAAAATAGCAAGGACTGTCACTATATGGAGAGAAACAAAAGTGATTTTGTTATTTTCATATTCCTCTGGTGGTTAAAAAAATAAAGCAATATTAAAATATGGGTTTTGAGAAGTCCAGTTCTGTTTATTACCTAAGTGGATAGCAATTAGTTAAATAGGATCAAAGGCAGTATGTAAGATCCTTAAATCCAGCAAGTCTACAAGTTTTGGTGCTTCAGCTGAGTTAGGAAGAAACTTTCCCTCTCATACAGAAAATCATGCATAAATTAAAATGTCATAGCATATTTTACTGTGCATAAAGGACTGTGATCTTGTGACCAAGGAGAAATAAGGGTGCTGAAGACTTGGGTTTTGCCATGGACTTTGTGTATGATGAGAGTAGTGGTTTATCTGCTTTATGCAGGATATAATAATGCTCATCCATACATACGTTTACTGAGGAACAAGCATAATACCTGCTATCCCATTCCACCCACCACAAAACCACTTTCACTGCAAGTGTAACGTATCTCTGGCCATAAAGCCCTCTCATCCCAATCAGGATATGAGATTTGTAACATATTTTAGGGTTCTTTCAGCATAACCTTTATTTAAGTCCCTTGCTTCTCCCTGAGTTATCTGCTATATCTGATTTTATTTAGCTTATCAGTGCAATATAAAAAACTAGAGTATGGTGAATTTATATTGAAGTTGGGCAAAAAATTTAGACACAAATCCTCAGTGGCATTTAGACACTTGGCTCATACTGAGGTAATTAAGTCCTATAGATGTTAAAGGATTCCTTAGTTGTTTTATGCCTTGGTTTCCTTACCTCTAAACAGGGGATCAAAATCCTCCCTACCTAGCACTCCATAATCTCTAAATGAAGGCTATCTGTGTCCTGTGTTGGTATTATTATTCTCTCTTTGTGTGGAAGGAATGGAGCTTTCTCTTTTCAAACAGAATTTAATGTAAAATGCCTCAATTATTTGTATGGTTAAAAATTATGTGGTAACTCACTGCTTCACTGGTGCTCATTCTAGTACATAATTATGCAATTGACTCTATCCTCAGGATACTGCTCAGGAAACCAAAAGACTAGGAGTGCCTCTGAGATGCTATGTTAACATCTGACATCTCAGGAATGAATCTATATACTTTTGCATTGAGATGACTGCTGATAATTCACACAAAACCACAAACAGATGATTATGCTTTTCCTAATAACATTACTTAGAACTTTGAAATCATTACTGGTAAGATTTTCTAAATGGTTCTCAAATATGTGTGTCATCTAAAAATCAGCTTTTAAACTCAAAACAGAGTCTCACTTCTCCTGTGAGATTTTATGTCAGTGATCTCTGTTGATGTGTGATCTTTTGAAGAATTTTGGAACTGTTATTCTACAGAAGACAATTTAGGAGATGTGTGTAGCTGAACATTTGCTGATATCGCTATATTTAAATCAGCTAGTTATATTTAACCATCCTGGTAACCTTGCCCATCTACTCCCAGTGCAGTTATAATTTAAACTAGGGAAACAGTTATTTCTCCATAGCAGCTCAAAGGTGTAGGAAGACACTTCGTTGGCAAAATATATTTTCTTGGTTCACCAATATCTATATTCAGGTTTTTAGTTGATTAGCAATGCTGCCTTTATGTGCTAAATGTGGAGCCAATTTAGTCTCCCATTCTTTGATGTCACTGGCATAACAACAGAATTGTTTTCTAAAACTATTTGCCACTTCTAGCTTTTGCTTATTAATTAATTATATTTGGCTCACATTAATAGTCCCTGTGATAATGGCAGAAGTGAAAGAAAAGAGTAGTCAAGTCCAGTGTACTGTCGTGTGCATGTGTAGCAGGCCAAGGCAATAAGATAGACAGATGCTTCCACATTCCTCTCCTTCCTCTTGCCTCTTAAGAAAACAGCTTTCTCTCCTTGCTTCTCTCCCAACTCTAGCCCAAAAAACTGACAAAATCTTTTCAAACGGAAGTAAAATAAAAAGCAAGCCACAAAATAATGCATCAATTGCCTCTTTTGGGAGAGACTCCCCAGTTCACCCTGTTCTCGGAAAGTGTCTTCCCTCTCAAATGTTTCTCCTGTTCCCAGTAGGAGTCATTACATCTTTGCAGCATTGCCTGTCCCTGACTGAAGGAATTCTGTTTCTGTTGCATCCCTATATTTGATTGGCCCAAGACACAGCAAGCTTCAGCCGTATCACTACTGACAGATATTTATCTGAGCTAAGAACTGAACTGATGCTGGCTCCACAAGTCCCAAGGGAGACTAGCCTGCTTTTCGGTATTCATACAATTTATAAATGCAGTTATTCCTGGATGTCAAACCTAAATCTCCCCTCCTGCCCCTCCAAGTCCATAATTTCCTTTGCTAGACTAATGAGACATGAATAATTTGTCACATTTATTCCCTTTTTCTTTCCAGCAACATTTTGCCTATTCAAAGACTCATTTCAAACATCTCCCTAAGCTGACTCACTTCTTTCAATCTCCACCTTTCAGTAATGTTTTCTAGCCCTCTAATCATTTCTAATCAGTCCATATCTTTCTTGAAATACAGTGCCCAGAATAAGATACAAGTATTGTAGTTGACACTTGCTTTCAAGAAATAGAGTGAAAATATGCTGTAGAACCTGTTAATATATCCTGTTCTACTTGGGGTTTTTTTGCCGTGTATTGGTACTGATGGATCATTTTCATGTTGTAAACTTGAAATCCTTTTGAGCAGTGAATGTTTGTTTCTTATCTTCTATCTATGAAGTTGATTATTTGCAAGTGTAACATTTATCCTTGTTCATTTTAAATCATTGCAAGAATCACAGAGTACTAATCTTGTCCTTCGAAGTATTTGCAGTCTCCTCTCAGCATAGTATTACATATTAAAGAAACATCCTCTATTGCGTTAGCCAACTCATTAATATTATCTGTATAAGAACAGGGAACTGCATAATCTTTAACACATCCACCCTGTTTAAGAATTCAATAAAATATTTTCACCTTGGTTTGCCAACGACCATCTATTTATTTCCTCAAGATCACATTTGCCTTCATTAATTATGAGAATTCATGGATATAGTTCAGAGTGGGCATATTAAAAGGGACTTGAAGCTCTGGTATTAAAGAAAGTTAATTTAAAATATTTTCTGGATAGAATAATACACTATGAATAGTCATAATTATCCAAAGTAGTCACATCATGTTTTCTCTGATGGATGACTATAAAACTTATGGGAATTAATTTAAAAATTCAGTGCTTGCTATCATATACCACAGTAACATATCTAATCTTTGAGAACTTGCATAGCTAAATAAAGGTCATAGAGACTACACGGCAGTAAGTATGGCCTCTCTGGCTTTCTGAACGTACTTTGGAGGCACAGTAAGTAGGGCTTGGTTTTGTGTGTGGTGACTATTAAAAGACTTGCTTGATTCATTAGATAAATGTGTATTATGAAAATACCAAACTACATTTCAATACTGTACACAGCATCTCTTCATCTTCTATTTCAGTAGAAAACTGACACAAATAGAAATAACATTCTTATCAGAGAACCTAACTCAGAAAGGGTTGTGAACTTCATTACTAAATTCAGTGATGAGAAGCATGAAATTGTGAAGCATCTAAGATTTTCACAGTACTTGTGCCAACAGAAATCTTATTCACTTCTTGTTTGACTTCATGGACTGAGGTAACATCTGTTGATGCCAAGTCTAGCATTATTTCAGTTGTACCCAAGTCAGAACAAGTGTCTGTGGAGCTGGTTTGTGAAAAATATCTATCGACATATGTAGAAAAAAAAATTGGCTTGTTATTAATTCTTGTAAAAAATATGCATAACAAAGATCAGCAAACTACAATAATCCCTAAGCTCACTGTATCCAACACTTTGCTGTTTTGTTTGAAATGAATAAGGAAGCTCAGAAAATAAATTAGACCATTATATAAAGTACTGGTATGATTGTACTTCAATCTTCTGAATAGAACTATTCAGAACTATTCATATCTTTCATAGCTCATGGGCCTAAATTTTTTTTGGAGGGCAGTATCAAATGGGTAGAAAATAAGATAAAAGAAATCTCATTCATATTTTCTATCAATTTTTCTCTAAAAATAACAATTCCAAATTTAACTATAGCCTGCTTTCCCTAATAATCAGTCACACCATTTACAGTTCAGTTCAGTGGTGAATAAGGAGAAAGCATAAGAATATTTTAATTAAAACCACATTTATAAACATAATTATATAAGCAGTGTATAAAATATATTACCTTACTGTATTTATAAATTTCACTTCTTAATGCAATATGCTTTGATTTTATGTGAAACAGAAGCTGCTCTTTCTGATAAGTATCCAGTTTTATCAATAACAACAGCAGTGCAACTCACATCTTCAGTTCAGCTGTAACCATAGTAACCTCAGAGAAGAGCTTTGTGATTATCAATATGAACAAAGGTAAGGGAGTTCATATAGCTCAGAAATAGCTGTGCTTTAGCAAACCTCGTGAAGCTGTTTTCTATGCTTGAAATGTCAAAAGTTAAAAAAAATAAGGAAGTGCTAAACATACATGAAAAACCTTTGGATTGGAAGGTCATTACATAGAATTTGTTAACAACAGCTAGGACAAACTGCCAAAGTTGCGCTTTCCAGTTATTTTTTTGGTGGTAGAGGCAGAGGTCAAATCTTTAAATACATGTGCCAGTTTTGTTCTGTCATTCACCTTATTCCCTTCCATTACAACCACTGGTACCCTGAAGCAGCCTGTTTGATGGGGCTTATTGATGCATCTGCCTGTCAACCACATAGAAAAGTTGTGGCCAGAATATCCTTAGCTGAGCTCACATGTGAGGCAGTAGCATTTCTCAGGACCCATGCTTAGGGGCCAAGAGCTGGGGGCTCCACTCCCCACACCAGAACCTTTTCCACAGTCTCTTTGCTGCTCTTCATGGGTGACACATAGCAGACCACAGGGAGGACCTGCTTGTGAAGGGATCACACCAAAAAGCTTCCAGAGTGAGGTTATATTAGAAATCAAAGCACAATACTAACACCACAGAAACCCTTTAAATAGCAGAACAGTAAAATCTGTGCTGTTTTATGCAGATGGAATAAAGAGAAGGGATTATTTCCCCAACTACATGATAAATGATATGTATGGATCAGAATAAAGAAAAATATAAATAGTGCTCTAACGTTTTAAATTAAAGACTAATGAAAAAATGATTTGGGAATGTAAAAATCCTCTGTCTTAAAAATTAAAGTTCTTATGTGAAGTCTTTACATGAGAAACTTTTTCTACTGAAAATGGTAAATTCTTGGAAGGAGGTATTTCCTGTAAGATGAATGGTTCACTTGAAAGTAACCTTACTTTGTCTCCAAAGTTTCTACCTTTCCGCCCCCCCAGACATGTGAGGGTTATTTGAAGCATTCCTAAGTATCACAGATGTTTAGGGATCATCGTCTAATAATGCAAAACACAGTCCAAATGATACCGAGTCATACATTCATTTCTTAATATTATTTCAAGTGCCAGTTTTCTGTATAAATGAATCCATAACATATAGGAGCAATTCTTCTGAACTAATTTTATGCAAAAATCTTATATTAAAGATCTTCAAGAACACTTCAAAATTAAGAACAACAGAGTGCTAAAACATTATTTACTTCTTCCTGACAATATTAGTAACTTACAGCTGGCAAGCATTAGTTTACTGTTCTGGTGATGAATTTCTTCATCTAACATTTAAACATCTATCAGTCTCTCCACTTTTGCAAATAAGGAATTCACTCAAAACAACTTCTATCAAGTCAACCAATTAGTTAGTAATATCTTTTGAGACTTAATTGCTTTCCACAGCCAAGGGAAATCAAATATCTTTTTGAAATGAGCTTATGAACCTACACAGTGAAGAATTAAATGAAAAATCAGGTAGCAAATCTGACAGGAATTCATTATTTCATCTTAGGGCATTCATTTATTATTATATCTAACTTCTGAAATACTAATAACATATTACCAATGTTTTGTTTTTAAAGATAGTTATCACACATAAAATCATTAGACTGATTATGCCACAACATGTATCAGTCCTCAAGGAGACTATGTTTTAACAGATTTTGGAGTTTCAGTGAGCTGTTTACATGTCTTGATTTTATAATTCATCAGCAAATCCTAAACCACGATGCAGTATTTTCAGCAATGTCAGCCATTTAGCTAAGAAAAAAAATAATTTAAAATTCTCTAAGATTTTGAAGGACTGAAATTTACAAATAAGATTAGTAAAAGCATTTAAGTTTAGAATATCATGAATAGATAACAGAGGGAGCAAGCCTAAACATTATATAAACTCTTGAACATACATAGGCACTAAATGTAAGCAGAAGAATAATTACAAACAGCATTAATCAATGGTACTTTGTCAACTGCAATGTTAGATTTTAAGCCTATTTAAAAATCTGTGAAAAGTAATCCTTGTCATTTCTTATTCCTTCCATCTCAAGATGAGCTTCTCTTTTATTTCGGTCAGGATTGTTACAGATTAATCAGTAGTGATTTAATACTATTACAGTAAAAATCAGGGTATGTCTCATATATTTCTTCTCATAAATCAACACCTTCATTTGTGAAACTAAATAGCATTGGACTGGAAAATGGAAAAAAGAAACTACATCAACTGCAAAACTCCATTCACAGCACAATCAAGAAAGGTACATGAAAGCTGTATGCAACCTTTTATTCCATAACAATTTGTTTTCCTAGGTTTTCTTTGCACTTTCAGTTCCTGTGGTTTTTTCTTACTCTGAGTAGAGGCTCCAATCACATGCTGAATCTTATTAAAGTAGTTGGGGGATTTTATAAGCATATTGGATGCTTGGTTTAATTGGTGAATAACAATCTGATGCAGCTTTTACAGCAACTCAGTTTTCTGGAAATAAATTATTTTACACCATATGTTTAAACCATCAGAATGATAAATCACAAGGGTTCATCTAAAGAATGGAAAACATCATATAACAATGTTGTTTTTTGTAATTTCTTTTAATAGCCATGAATTTGAAAGATTTACTTATAAGTTTCTCAGAGAAGCTTCTCAAGGTTAATAGCACTAATGCAGCATGTCATATGCATCATAAAATAATTTCTGTTCCACATCCAGTAACAGCTCAACTGAAAATTTTGCAGAAATCCAATGTACCCTTGCAGACTTTGTACTTGGTCCCTTTGTAGGTAACATATATGTATATATAAAAAAATACCTTTTTCACCTCCTCCTTAACTATTGTCCCATAGATGCAAAAAGCAATCTTAATATTAGAGTACCCTCATTAGCCTCTTAACCTGGACATGTCTATGAAACCTAGGCTGTGAGGTTATCCATTTTGATTAGGAGGTTGGACTAGACCTGCAGATGTCCTTTAAATCTAAACATTTATTTAATTCTCTGACTCCAAAATTCACTGAATCTGTTTGCCAGGCGTGGCTATTTACTGTAGCTTTAGGCTTTAAATCTCACATCTGCAAATTCATGTCAGCCTGTTGGTATCTGTCTTTTTAGAGTTGTATTTATCATGAAATGCTGCATTCAGATTGTAAACCAACACCTTAGAAAAAGTATTTGTATAGCCAGATCTGAAGCTAAGTTCCCAATATCTTTGAACTGAGATCACACACATGAATGCAGAGTCTAAATTATTAATCATGATGCTTCAGCGTTACAGCAGTTCTCATATCAGCAATGAGTAGATACGTGTCCTGAAGTCTGGAGAACATTTTTCCAGTCACCCCAGCTACTTAATTTCTAATGTTTGGGAGGTAAACCTAGGTAAACCAGCTACTAGAACAAACACAAGGGATGACTGGAGCCAATTTGACATATGATTATTGTAATATCAGACATTTAGTAGCTATGAGAATAAAAAAAAAAAACAAAACAAGAATAGAGAGTTTGAACATTTCTATGGTACACATAGTTGTCATTTACTCTACTGACTTTTGAAAAAGTAATTTATTTTAAACTGATACCTGGATCTGTGGCAGACATCAGCGATCCAAAAAACAAACAGTCAGTGAAGTGAAATTCTGATCCTTTTAACAGGCCAATGTGTACCATGGCCTTAACAAAACCATACATTATCAACCTGTCAGGGAAAAGATAAGACAGGTGTTCAGACACAGCATATAACACTTTTGCTTAATTTACAGTAATAAGCAGGTTCTTATTCTCTTTAGATTCTTTTTTTTTTTTTTTTTTTTTAAAAAAAAAAGTATCACATAAATACTGCTTTTAGCTGTTTATTTTTCAAAAGGAAAGAATATAAGCCTAAGAAGACATTATTAAGACTAATTTGTCTAATATTGTAGAATATTTAAACAAAGGCATTTCTAGTATCAGCTACATGGCTTGCCCTAATATTTCTAAATTAATTGCTTTAGTCTTAACAGTTTTTAAATGTTATCTGCATTAACATTTCTAGACAAGGTCTCCAATTGAGACAGGACACAACTCACAATGACATCAAGGCAACAAAGTCACACATCAAAATGCACTACTAAATCCTCATTATCTACACAGATATGCTGTCATTGGTTTCTATAACCAGGTAATGCTATCTGAGATGTGCATTTTATCAAGAATCTTGAAATACCTTGAAAGAAGGAGTTCCTTTACATATAGAACCAGTTGTAGATTTTAATTTTTTTGTACATTTCAAATCTAGTTACTAAAAAACCCTATTGCATTTAATACCTTTTCCATAAACACAACACGTAAATGGACAGCTGCGCTCTTTTAACTATGGACTTAAAAAAAAAATCATTTAGCCAGAGCTACATGCATTCACACACTTAGCTACATTTTGCCCTCAGCTATATGCTTAATATGTTTCTGAAGTCATGTAAGTACAGAAGATCTGAGTGGCAAATAAAGTGCTACTAAACAAACAGCTTGAGAGTTAATGACAAATGCTTTTCTGATACTTTACTAAGTTGTTGATTGTCTGAGGTATAATTACTATTGCAGTAAGAGGGAAGCAGGTAGGTGACCTTAGAATTCCACAGTGGTCCTAAGAGGTTATGTATGCATTTATGTAAGCTGCCTACCAAACAGCCACCAATCATCCTAAAGAAATTTTTCCAGTGGTGGATCTCCTTGATTGATGAGCTCGCTTTCTCTTTATTCCCAAAGAACAACAATGCAGTTAGTCCTTTTTTTCCAAACACAAATGTTTGCTTTAAGGAATGAGTTCTTAAGAAACTGTCTATGGTGCTGCTATACGGATTTGCCATTGTCTCCAAAGTTAAATGGAATGGACATGAGCACAAGCATGCCTTTTAGAAATAACTGCCCAAACCTGCTTTTGCAGTTTTGACCGGGGATACTCTTCTGACTCAGTTAAAAGTATTTTAAAATACATAGAATTAGCTTTTCACTATCTGCCAGATTTAGTAATGATAATCTTTTAAATATCCATCATCCTGGTCTTTAGCATTGTTTCTTATATATTACTAAGTATTTTCAGTATGTCACTGCTTCCTGTCTGTACAAAGTTGCAGACAAACTGAGCAAAACTGGATTCAGGAGTCGTTTATTACAGACATAGGAGCTCTAAGTTTGCCATTAAGTGTAGTACTGTAGAAGACTTACAGAACCTGCTCTTAGTTCACATACCATTCAATTCTTGGCTGCATTGAAAAGAGAAATAATACTGAAAATCAGACTAATCAACAGAGCTGATTTAATCACTGAGATGTTAACTCTCATCCAGCAGAGAAAAGAGAACAGCAAACTTCCTTTTTTTTACATTAATGAACAACTTAATACATTTTGGTAATGCTAAAATGAGACAGGTCCACTTTTGCAAACATAAATCCAATTAAGCGCAAACATATATTTGGATTATGCAAGAGACTGCAGGATAAGTAAATCACAAGAATCTGTGCCTGCACCTCCTCCATGAAAGCATGCACAGAAATAAGTTCCTATTGTAAATTAGCATTTAAAACACAGGAGTTTACCTTTTATTTACAAGCTGTGTATTATTAGTAAAGGTAATAAACTAAAGTGGTCATTAATCATAATTTATCACTGATTTCTTACGAGACACAGCCGTACAAAATACAACTCCCCCTTCACCTTAGGTAACTTTACAATAACTTAAAATAAATTCTAAACAGAAATAATTTATTTCACTTAAAATTATAATGTAGAGTGGCTTTTCCACTGTATTTTGAAAAATTGGATCCCAGCTGTGTACCTGATCTCCCAAGAACAGTGATATTAAACATCATCTGGTACTATACAACATAACCCTTTCTCATAGAAATCCCATGAGGAAAGCACACCCCAATGCTGATTGGCCATGAATCCCCAGGAAACACTGTGCACTAATGTTCTTATTGCTGTTATAAACTACAATTGAAAAGACCCAATTTACCAATTTTTGGGGCTGCTGACATTTTATTTGATTTATTTAGGTTATTTTTAGCAACTTTACACCCACCAAGTTTCAGCAAATTTGATTGCTTTATTCATCTTCAAGAAATCCTTTTAATATATATATGAAAAAAAAATATTAAAATATCTGTTAAAAAGTTGCAAGTAAGTCAAAGTGTCAGTGACTTTGAACTTCCTCCCAAATGCTCCTGTCCCACTACGACACATCCCCAACCCAGTACTCATGGTTGACACAAAGTAGCCTATTAACACAAATCAAGTTAACAATATTAGGAGCTCTGAATATGTTTAGTAGGATGGTACTTTCATCTTTCCAATTTCTCTCTGTGAAATTGTCTTTTTTACTTTACTTTTTACTTTTTTACTGACCTAGAATTCTAGATTTTATTTTTTATACTTTTAGAATATCAGAACTGAGATCCTTAAGGCTGCATAAAGGAAACAGAAGTTGAGTTGCAAATCAATGTAACCCAACTTCCCAGTTTCTTTTAAAATCTTTACATTAAAATACACTTGCAAAGCAATTTTATTTCATATACTTTTTAAAAATCTTGTGTTTAGTCTATATTGTAAGTTCACTGGGAAAGTAGTTGCCCCTTAAACTGTGGGACCTTTATCTTTGTGTTTGACATGATATTTCTCTGATAATAAACTTTACAAAGGCATGTGAACCTCAGATTTAAAACCCTGCTTCACCTCGTTCATCTTCATTTATTCTAGACACTAAGAACGTGCCTAAGAGAGACTACAGGTTCCTAGGGTCTAGAAGGTGCTCCACCTAGCTTATCATTAGCCATTATTCATTAAACTAAACAGCAGTAGTGCTTGGAGGTGAAAGTGTGCTGTGGTATCAGGTGTTCTTATCCTGGGTGAAGGAATTCTGAGCTTGAGTCTATACTTTGAAGTCTATTTTCTGCTCTGTCCTTCCAGCTTTCACACAGAATCACAGAATTTTAGGGGTTGGAAGGGACCTTGAAAGATCATCTAGTCCAACCCCCTGCCAGAGCAGGATCATCTACAGCACATCACACAGGAACACGTCCAGGTGGGTTTTGAATATCTCCAGAGGAGACTCCACAACCCCTCTGGGCAGCATGTTTCAATGCTCTGTCACCCTCACAGTGAAAAAGGTTTTCGTCATGTTTAAGTGGAACCTCCTATGCTCCAGCTTGCACCTGTTGCACCTTGTCCTATCATTGGACTTAGAAGAGCCTGGCTCCGTCCTCCTGACACTTGCCCTTTACATATTTTTAAACATTAATGAGGTCACCATCAGTCTTCTCTTCTCCAAGCTAAAGAGACGCAGATCCCTCAGCCTTTCCTCATAAGGGAAATGTTCCACTCCCTTAATCATCTCTGTGGCTCTGTGCTGGACTTTTTCAAGCAGTTAGGTAACTTGAAGCTGTGAATTCTGCTGGGTAACCATGCCACAAACCATGTCTTTTTAGCATTTGGGAATACGTGCTACTAGAAGTATAGAGGAGGGAGTTGATTTGGGGTAGCCCTACCTCCTTTTCAGCTTCTTATTGTCATTAATAACTATGCAAATTCAGAAAATTATTTGCATGATCAGAAACTAAGTTATTAGAAACAATATACTTTAGAAAGAAATGGCAAGTAAATTGGTCAGTAATAAACAGTCACTGAAGACTTTTCAGTTGGACTTGTGGTGGTTTGGTACTGCAAATAGTATTTGCAAATAGCTGTTTTGGTCATGGATTTGGAATATTTATAAAGTAATACAATAGATTAATAAAACTCAGGTTAGCTTTGCTGGAGGATAGCTGACATTTTCTACACCCAATCATAACTTTTGTGTGGGGAGGATCCCATCAAGCTAGAGCAAATCTTTTGCCACTTCAACAGGAAAAAAAAAAAATCAGTCATGTAATGAAACACAGGAGAATTCAAAATTTTCCAGTTAATGCAAGTCTGGCATTTATAAAGTGCCTCATCTCTAAAAAATGCTACATACAATGCTGTCATTATACAACAGGGAAGATACCATATAAATATTTGACTTGCTGGAGTAAGAGTCATCTTCTGGTAAACTGAGCTTTAACTACCGTAATTTCCAGTATGAACTGGCAAGTAGGCCACATAAAATCTCAGTACAACAACACAAAATAAACTTTACACTGACAAAAAATAAAAGTAAATTAACAATAAAGGCCAAGAACAAAACTTGTGCAAAGCTTTACTCACTATGAGCATTGGGTTTTCCTTGCTGGACTGCATTAAAGCTTGCCTGAGTGAAAAAACGGGGAAGAATTTCCACATGTAGAAGGCCCAGGTTTTTTACTACCACAGTTCTGCTGCTGCTAATCTTTTATTGCCGTGCCTTGAGGAAAGGAGTTTGGACAGCACAATGGCTGGCTGGGTACTGCTGCAAGTTTTGTAAATTAATTTTTAAAGCTACTCTCTAGTAAGGCTACTCTGGGATTGGGGCATTCTTGAACTAGCTGCTGTTTAAATGTAGAGTGGGAAACAAAAGCCCTCTCCTAAGGACTTTGCACAGTAATTACTACACAAAAAACCCAACAGCAACAACAAAACCCCCATCTAAATGCTCAGGAAGAATTTTAGATGCAGCTCAACAGAGGCCAGTTTTTTTGCAAGAGTTTCCTTTAGCAACATCTGGTTTTAGGAAAGGATCTAAACAAAGATAGTGGAACTACTTTGGGG